AAAAAAAACAAACATTTCGATCATGGATTACAAAAAATTCGATCATGGATTACAAAAAATTCTATCATGGGTTACAAAAAAAAAAAAAGCAAAAAATTCGATCATGGATTACAAAAAAAAAACAATTCGATCATGGATTACAAAAAAATCGATCACGTATTACAAAAAAATCTATCATGGATTACAAAAATAAAATAAAATAAAATAAAATAAATAAATAAAAATTCCGTACGGGACTCGCCGATTCCGTACAGTGAATCGGCGAGTCACTGTACAGAATCGTCTAGTTCTCTCTAGAACCGGACGATTCCCGTTTTTTCACCAATTCGATCTGTCCATGGCGATTCCCGAGTCGAACTGGGCGAGTCCGGTTCGACTCGGCGTTTTTTTAAACAGTAGTCTGCGGTATTATTGTCATTTGGCAATTTCATGGTATTATTGGCATGAGCAACTTCATTTCGACAAATTTAGCAAAATTTTACTAGTTGTTCAAGGGTCACAACCTTAAAGAATGGTGATTGGGGAACTGTTGAGTAAATTTTTTTAAAAGATGCCTAAGTGTAATGAAATTAAAAAATAAAAAATTATTGAATGTGATAATTTGACCATCCTAACGATTTGTGCAATAATTTGAGGTGTTAAGTGAAATTTTCCCAAAAATACTTTAAAACAAAAGCTACCCCATTCAAGAATTTAAACAAATAAACATATCTCCAAAAAAGTGGTTAATACTAGGATACAAATATACAAACTTAGTGACAGAAGCATTGTACTTGCTTAGCATTTTAACAACCAAAACTATGATTCCTTTGGCATTCCAAATGGAAAATCATCTATCCCATGGTCAAAAGTCAAAAACCCAACAACAGCAAACAAGAGTGCGAGCATAACATTTGATCTCATCTCTATTAACGTACTTAAAAGTACTCAAAATGAGGTGGCATTTGGTGGGTTAAATCTCCCTGCCTCTTTCTCTGCCTCTCTCTCACATTTTTAGCCACCATTCTATTATTTTCCTTATTCAGCCTAAGCTGTTCATTTGGGACTTGAGGGGGTTTCACTGACCTAATCAAAGCCCAATTAACCCCCCTAAAAAACCCATGCTTCTTAATCTCCACAGACCCTAGAGCACTTCCAATCCTCTTCTTAGGGTTCTTCGCCAGCAATCTACTTATAAGGTCCCTAGCCTCAGAAAAGCCCTCATTATCAATTGAAATCATATTAGGGAACCCCAAAGGTTTCTTCATGATGTTCATCAAGGTTTTCTCATTGCTTTCACCTCTAAATGGGGTCTTCCCATACAAGAGCTCATACAAGAAAACACCAAATGTCCACCAGTCCACTGCAGAGCCATGGCCTAATCCTGAGATCACCTCTGGGGCTAAGTACTCATGTGTACCCACAAAGGACTTTGACCTAGCACTTAAGGGCTCAACAACAAGCTCAGCCTGAAAATCTAAGCCATGAATCTTCTTGTTTTTGTTTGCATTCTTCTCATTAGAAGAAAAACAAGTGAGCATGGGCTGTAGGGGTAAGGCACATGAAGAGGCAGTTTTTGCATTAGTGTTTGTGGTGAGCGGATTTGACGGTTTGGGGAGAAGCAATTTCGGAACGACGTCGCATTTTAGAGAGAGATCGAAGTCGGAAAGCATGATATGGCCATCTCCTCGAACAAGAACATTTTCAGGCTTTAGGTCTCGAAAGACAACACCCATCATGTGGAGGTATTCTAGGGCAAGTAGTACCTCGGCCGCGTAGAACCTGGTGATTGAGAATGTCAAAAGAGGGATTAGCCTTGACGAATTAGCAGCCCTATCAAAACAAGTAAAGCTTCACCTAATAACTCATCGAAGCCTGACCTCATAACTCATCGAAAATTTGAATTCAAGCATTAGAAAACATTTAATTCAATCATCTTGGCTTGAACATTACGGTTGTGGAAAAAAAAACAACGATATCAAGCTCTAAAATTAATGTATGTTGTAACAAATTATCTAGATTATCTATTTCGCCATAAAAATAAGCGTTCATAGATCCGCAAGAACTGTACCAATTTTTTTAGTTTCGAATTTCATTGCTGATTTTGGAAATTGATTTTAAAGGAATCATGGAGATTTATGTTACCAAAAATACTTTCCGGATGTGTATTTGAAGTAAAGGCTAGGCCTTATAAAAATCCATCTTAAAAGTATTTATGTTTTGTACAATAAGGTCACAATTTAGTATGAATCTTGTAGTTAGAGTTTCACAATTAACTATGCTTAAAGTCCAAAAAAAAATTGGTACTTTGTCTTACAATCTTAGCGCTTTATTTCACATCGGATAGCTAAGAATCCAAAGACAAAATATCTTGTAGTATCAGTGTTGGAAAATAGAACCAGCCTTGGAAAGCTGCCAAGGGCCCATTTCGAGTAGCCGGTAAATCGGCCAGTTCAACTGACCTAACCGGACAAGTCCTGGCCGATCAAAAAAGTGTTAAAAAATAAAAATAAAAACTAAAAAAATATGAAAAGTATATTTAAATCATGATTAAACAAGGACATCCAAATAAAGTTGAAGATTAATAGAAACATGGATATTAAAAAGGGAAATCATCAAAAATATATCTTATTTTTTAGATTAATGGAAATAAACCCCAAACTTTCTAAAACCTCATTGATGCTTTTTTTCTCCACTTTTTACATTTTTTTTAACCAAAATAGCTTTCATGGTAGTCTTAGATCCGTGACATCAAGATAGACTCAATATGGTGATGGTCATGGGGGATTCAATGTTTTGAGGCATCACGGTTGTTTAAGCGCCTTGATGGTCATTAAGAGGCATCACGACACTTAAATAGTAATGATGGTCGTTAAGAGTTCTTATGCCCCGTGACGAATGCTTATGCAAGAGTATAACAACCATAACAGTCCAATAAACCAGCGGTTCTTTAAGTGCCATGATTATTCAAAATTACATTTGACTTACAACCCACTATCACCATCAAAGTTTTCAATCGATCGTGATGCCTTCACAATTCCAAAACTACCCTGAAGGCTATTCTTGTCAACTCACCCAAAAAGGGTATGGATAAGGTTTTAAAAAGTTTGAGGCTTATTTTCAATAATCTAAAAAATATAGTATATTTTTTATAATTTCCATATTAAAAAATCGATTTAAGCCCAGGGGTATTTTGGAAATTTTTAAAAAGATGGAAAAATGTAAAAATAAGTATTAAGGGCCAAAATACTTTCCAATTTTTGCCAAAATGAAAAAAAAAAATTGCATTACAAATAAATCTCTTATTTTTTATTTTTTTTTATGTTTTTGAACTTTTTTTTAAAATACCAGGTGGGATTACCAAACCATCCAAAATTAGAACCGGCCAATGCCCAATTCCGATCTAACCGTCCAATTTCGAGTTGAACTGGCCCATATTGTGAACAGTGTGTAGTATACCATCCAGGATAGAGAGAGAGTTATGCGGGTCAAAATTAGGAGGAAGATGAGCAGGGTTGACCACTTAGAATGCTTAGAGGGAGAGAAAAAAGAAGAAGAATAAATTCCCACTCGACTAGTGCTTCTAGGAAATAAGAAAAAATAATCTCTCTCTTGCACCTTAAAAATAAAAAATGTAAAGGAATAAATAAAAGGGTGAGGTTTGTATAGAGCCTAAGCTCTAAACAATCAAATTAAAACCTACTTTCAAACAGGGTTGAGAAATGTGGTTTCAATATTTAAAATTTTTGTAATAGCCTTAAAATATATTTTCATCTTTATTTATAAAGTTTAAAGTTTCAATAACAGTGTAATCAACATATATATGAAAACTTGAAAATTCTCAAAATTGATTTTCTAAAAATACGTTATAAAATACACTATTTTCAAAACTTTAAAAATTATTTTTTCTCATGTCCATAAATTTTGATATCGAGATGACCAATATAAGCATCAAAACAACCTCTTGAAGTAAAATTCTGATGTTAGGGGGTCCAATTTGATTGTTAAGTCCAATAAATAAATAACTCTCTCCCACAAAAAGGCCAAAAAAGAAAAGTTTGACGCTCGGCTTTAATCCATGGAGAAACGAGAAAAAACCTGGGTCTTGGAAAGAAAGACGGAGCTCACACCAATACGCACATTTGTGCAAAAACTGAGTTACGTGGAACTAGGAAACCTATGAGCTAGAACAAAAACTATTTTCCCCACTCGTCCTCTACAAACCCCAAGGACACGTGACACAATGTCATTACGTGGCACTTACGTCGTTCAAAAGATATTATGCTCTCTCACCAGTATATTGTCTATTTACTGTTTTCGGGGAAATTTCATTTATAATTAATTTTAGGATTCTAGGGGATTTCTTCAACTTTTAAATTAACTTTTGATAAAAATAAATTTGTAATTTCATTTAAAAAAACTAATGACTCAAGATTAAATAGAAATCGTTCCAACTTTCTTGGTAAGATCGAAGGGTTAAAAAACTCAAATTTTAATTTTTAAAATAAATAGTCATCTAATAATTAATAAGCAGTTTCAAAAAAATATCCTAAATAAATCTTTTGACCGAGAGATGTATTTCCATACAAAACCATGGGATTGGGGAATGCTTTTGAGAATTTACCAAAAATAAAACATAAATAAAAATGTAGGGATAGGGCACACGTTTACCAACAAACAACTATGTGAGAGAAAATTCAATCAATCAAACAATAGAGAGCTAGAAGAGGCATCCATGTAAAAAAACAACTTACGCTTACAATGGTGATTTTGCCCCACGTTTCTATGTTGAAAACAGATAACGGGGTGGCAAAAACGTAGTTAAGAGAAAACATTCATATAAGAATGCTATTTTAAAATGACTCTGGATGCTCCTAAAAAATCAATCGAAAAAGATAGTTTTAATGTTGAAAAATCTTTTAGTTTCGCGACGTATGACTATGAAAAATAAAAAGATTTTAAGCCTCAAAAATAGTGCATTTTACAACATATTATCTACATCGTCTATTTTTAAGATTTTCATATGTTTATAGATCTACTTGATTTTAACTATTTTTAAAATTTAAAATTTTATAATTAGATATAAAAATAAATTTTGAGATAATCCTAAGAACATTTTACATCAAAATTATATGCCATGATAAAATTTGAAGGTGCACCTTATTTTTTCTACACCTACAGATGCATCCGTATGCCAAAGTGTACCCTTGAAATAGTAGGATTTTTCTTTTTCCTTTTTTTCTTTTTTTTTTTCTTTTTTTTTTAAGGGTCGTGAGGAAGACAAGCTCTCTCCGTTTTTTCAAATAATTTGGAGAAGACAAGCTCTTTGTCTTTCAAATAATTTAAAAGTTAGTTTTTTCTTTTTAAGATATCAATGGGATGGTATCGCAACTGCAAAGTGATGACTAAGATGTGGCGATGCTACCTGTGCGACCCAGCCCCTTTAGGATAATGCGAGAGAAAAAAAAAAAAAAGGAAAGGGAGGGAGACAGTCAAGCAAACCATGGTAGAGAAGAAGATGCATGAAAGCATACAAAGGAAGATGAAGAGAGATGAGGCACATGTAAAAGCAGAGAGAGAGAGAGAGGACCTTGCGGCTGAAATGGTGAATCGCCGACTGGGCTGTCGTTGCCGGAGAGAGAGCAAGTCCCCTCCGGGACAGTACTCCATGACTAAGCAAGAGTAGTGAGATACCTCAAACTGAGCATAGAGAGTGGGTAAAAAGGGATGGTCCAAAACCCCTAGTATTTCTCCCTCAACCTTTGCCCTCTGCAATTTGTTTCGATGCACAAGCGCCTCTCTATCTACCACCTTCATCGCATAGTAAAATTCAGGCAATGGTGGTCGTAGCCTGCAAAGATAGACGATCCCAATATCTCCACTACCAAGCCTTTTGAGAAGGCGAAAGCTATCGAGACCGACCTGGCCCGACACCATTTGAGCTTCTCTCATCGCTTCCCATGCTGCTTGGTTAGCTTTGTGGGGCTTTAGAGAGACAGACTTTTTAGAGAGAGAAAAACTGGCATCGCTGTAAGAGACTGAAGATGAGCGGAGACTCACAGAGCTCAAGTCGCTGATCGAGCTATGGCTCGAGTTTAGAGCACTGATTGAGGACCAGCTAGTGTCATAGTCGGATGTTACCATGGCTACTAGAGCATAGGGAGCTTAGATAGAGAGAAGGAGAGAGGGGGAAACTACAAGGGGGTTTTTCGCAGGCTAGAGTTGGGTTGGAGGTCGGCCGTTACTAAGAGCTTGAGAAGGTTAGAGAGAGAGAAGCGTGGGGTGTTGTTATTTGGTCGGTGACAGTTGAAATGAATATGCGGCTATGGCGAAGTGCTTGTGAAGCTTAAAACGTGAGGAAATTTATACACTCCACTCAATGAGAGAGAGAGAGAGATTTAAAGGGAAAATTACAAGAAAAAAAAAAACCCAAGAGCACACTTTATGCAACTTACTCGAAGTGGAGTTTTTCCTTCACTTTTTTTCAAAAAACACATTTTCTATGTTGTAACTACTCTCAAAAGAAAAAATTAGTTTTTTAGACAGAAATGCCTTTTCCGCATGAGGAAAACAATTTGACCAAATTTGACTTTGACTTTCGGAGCTCATTATTGGAGCGAACCACTGTATTGCCGGAGTGCATGATCTACTGTCGGAGCATACCACTGTATTGCTGGAGTGCATGATCTACTGCCGGAGCATACATACACAATTTTGGAGCGTTATGACTCCAGATTATACTGCTATAGTGCAGTTACACAGTGTCGAAGAGCATGATCCACTGCCGGAGCGTACATAGATAGTGTCGAAGTATACTTACACAGTGCTGGAGTGCATCATCTACTGTCGGAGCGCACATACACAGTACCGGAGCACTGTGACTCCAGATTCTACTGTCGGAGCACACTTATACAGTATCAGAATGCATGTTCCACTGCCAGAGCGTACATAGTGCCGGAGCGCTATGACTCCAGGGTATTGCACTGCCGGAGCATTGTGACTCCAGAGTATTGCACTGCCGGAGCGTACTTACGTAGTGCTGGAGCGTATATCTACTGTCGGATAGCACATACACAGTGCCGGAGCGCTGTGACTCCAGATTCCACTGTTAGAGCGTATGATCCACTGCCGGAGCACATGATCCACTGCCAGAGTGCTCATGGATACTGCCGGAGCAGGCATAGACAGTGTCGGAGCACTGTGACTCCAGAGTGTTGCAGTGCCGAAGTGCACATATATAGAGGAGCACTTACATAGTGCTGGAGTGCATGATCTACTGTCGGAGCACACATAAACAGTATCAGAGCACTGTGACTCCAGAGTGTTGCAGTCTCGGAGCGCACTTACACAAAGGAGGGAGAGACGTGGGTAAGGTAAAAATAAGGGTAGGTAGTTTTGACATTTTTTTTATTTTTATTTGATCGGGGGTATTTACATAAAAAATATAGTTTTAAAAAAAATATAAGAGACAAAGTTAAGTTGAGGTAAGCTGCACAGAAAGTGTAGTCTTACTAT